TTCTTCTTTTAGAAAATACTATTGAACCACCATTAAACTTACTAGGCTGCCTTTTCAAGAAGAAAACTAAAATAGTATATATAAAATAATAGAAATATTCTACTTATTCTCATTGAGAAGTATATTTGTAAATATATGATTAGTTTACAAAGGAATTATTACTTGTGAATAAAGTCTTTAAGTGAAAAAGAAATGCCTAGTGGCAAGAATTTATGATATGCCATAATAAAGTGCCTATCTTGTTCCCCAGTTTGCTACAGTATATTGCTGGGTATTATTTAAATTTCCTTAGAACACTAGATTGTTTTAGGAAAACAGTAACAAAATATAATCTGGAAGAAGCAGTATGAATAAATAAAAATGTGATAGCAGACTGTCAAATTGGCTTAAACTTAGAAACAGAAAAATTTGTTAAAACAGCATTACCTACTAGTTATTCTTGGACTCCATGATCTTTCAGGGACCAAATATTCATTCGACCTGCAGCCAGTGCATTTGTCCAGTAGCGATGCCAAATACGATGACTGTTGAGTCTGAAGTGTTTTTAACAAAACAATATTGGGTCTTCAGTGCAGAACTGTGTTGGCATATCGATACCAGGCACTTTGTGTTAGAGTATTTGATGTGAAACCATGGCCTGGAGTTCACTAGCCGATTTAGATAGTTAATTGAAAGATGAATGAATAAGGCAGTTATTTCTAGACATTTTTTTAAAAATTTAAAATCTTTCAGCTACCTGATGGTAGCATTGTCTTTAGAGTTCAAAAGCAGACAAGGTAGGGCCAGAGATTATAATGTTCAATGGTCCTACTGCCTGCCTCACAAGTGCAAGGTCCTAGAGTTTGATCCCTGGTACCAAAAAAACAAAAACAAAAACACCTACTTTTCATTGTTTTAAACTTTACATATTTAAAATAAGATTGCGGCAGGGATGGTTTCGCCCCCTGCCTCACAAGTGCAAGGCCCCAATCAATCCCTGGCACCAAGAAAGAAAGAGAGAAAGAGGGGGGGGGGGGGGGGGGAGAGAGACACCCAAAGCATTCACATTGAGCTTCATCCTCCATACTTTTGTATTCATTTACTTGATTTGATTATATATTTTAGTAAAAAGCACTCATGAATCTGCTGTCGGTCCCAACTTATTTCTCCTCTTCCCTTGTCCTTCTGGTTTCTTAACAAGGAAACCATTATCCTAAAATTGATATTTATCATTCCCTTCTTTTTTATGACATTTGCTTTTCATTTTTTAAAGTAACACAATTCTCACCTTCCTTATTGGTAAAATCTACCTCCATAAGATTGTTTTCAGATTAAATGAAAAATATATACATTGAGATTTTTCATGGTGCCAGGTCCCTTAAATGCTCAGTATGTAGTTATGTTAACTAATGTTTGCTGAGTAAAAAAAGCAAGCAAAACATCTTTTTTTCTTGCTGTTTCCTTTGATTTGTTTCTTTGAACTCTTCTGGAGAAAGGGAGGGGGGTGGTGTAGGGTTTTGAAGTCTTTTCATCTCTTCCTGAAACAATAACAGAATGAAGCAGTAGAGAATGGGGTTTTGGTGATCAGCAGCACTATTCAGTTACCAGGGTTTTTTTTCCTCACTGTCCTATGTCCCAGGACAGCATTTCTGCCTAGATTGACTTGGTGCACTGTAGTGAAATTACTCTACTCCTTCATAGCCAGTGTTGAAGAAAAAAGGACAATTAATCTAGACATAATTGGTGATATAAGTGAATCAGGTAGTTTCCATGAATACATAAGTGGTACACTTATTTTGGGATTTTGGTCAGGTAAAATTCATAATGAACCATGGGGTGAGTTGAAGAAATATTATTTTATAAAATATTAACAATATTAATAGTAAATAGTCAATAAGTGCTATGTAGTTTTTCATGTGTTAGTAATATGTTAAGATCATAATTCTGGGGCCGGTGTTGTAGCTCAGTGGCACTGCGCCTGCCTGGCAAACGCAAGGTCTTGAGTTTGATCCTCAGTATGGAGGGGTTATTAATTCTTATATTAATCCAAATTAAATTTTACCTTATTCCTTTGGGTATATATTACAGTCTTTCATGGTCTGTGATAAATTTTGACAGTATATCTTAGCTAACCCTAACACTCAAGCTGGGTGAGGCAAGAGAATCACAAGTCCCAGCTCAATGTGGGCAATTTAGCGCGACTCTGTCTCAAAAAAAAAAAAAAAATTGTTGGGTGTGGTGGTGCACACTTGTTATCCCAGCACTTGGGAGGCTGAAGCCAGGAAAACTGCTGCAAGTTTGAGGTCAGCCTGGGCTGCCTAATGAGTTCAAGGACACCTTGATGAAAGAGAAAGGGACTTGGGAGGGGAGGGAAAGGAAAAGAAAGGAAAGGGGAAGGGGAAGAGGGAAGGGAAGTGTGTGCTTGGCATAGCTCATTGTGAAGGTTTTGAGTTCAATCCCCAGTAACCTCCAGATTGCTCCCCTGCCCCCTCTATCATGTATTAGTCTATATCCATCCCTTCTAATCTTCTGTCATTTGCAAAATTCAAAATCTTTGTTCGGGTTGATACAGTAACCATTTCCCTTCAGATTGGACCTACACATTTTTGAGCCCTTGCTGTTGGTTAGAAGCCATCTTGTTCGTTTTCAAAAAAAATTTTTTTTGAGAAAAAAGATAGACGATTATTTCTCTTTGTATCAAAGGAACTCTTGGTTTAACAGATTGAGAAAGGTTAATTGTATTAAAGTGATAATGCCATTAATTAGATTCTATTTCTCCTGCTGTATTATTTGAGAGATAGAAGTAATTTCCTGAAATGTTTAGCAACATTTTAACAAGCTGAAATTTTCCAGCCAGGTATATTGTATTGAGACAGATGCTGGATTTGTCAAATGCTTTTAAGATGAACATTTCAAGTGTTAGGTAATAGAGTTGTTTATTTATAGTACCTTGTGCATGCTAGGCAAGCACTCAAGTCACTGAGCCATATTCTCAGCCCAGGTAAGAGGGTTTTTGAAAAGAAACTTTTAAATTTATTCTTTACTGTGTGAAGATCATTTAAAAGTACAGCTTCTAATTTTAGTTTTCCTTTTGCCTTCCTTATCCCCATCTACATCAAAGTTAGGATTAACTGGAGGATCAAGGTATTTATCAGTTCATAAATTGTTACCAATGTCTTACAGTGCTGCCTTTGTTTTTCAGCCACTCATGAAGATAATTATCTTTAGTTATTGTAGTTTTTGGTTTCTTGGAATAGTAGGCAAATCCTATAAACTTTATGCTTCAGTTCTTTTGAAAATAGGCATATTCTTCTAATTGGCCTTTTAAAGTACTTTGCAACACTGATTCTGCTAGTCTGCTTTAGAGACTATTTGGAAATGATTTACTTCCATAAAACAAAAATTATATTCACAAAAGAAGTTTATAGTAGATATAAATAAAATTCTATGAAAAATTTAAAATATTATAAAATACTTTATAAAGATGGGATTCTTTAATCTATTACATAAAAGCAATTTGAGAATATTCTGTAATTTTGCCTTTCCAGGTGACTCATAGTAAGAGAAATAGCTTTTTTGAGCTTTGACATTCCCTTTAGCTTCTTTAGGAGGGAAAATGAATTATGACAGTGATAAATATCTTCGCTATCCAAAGTGGTAACATCTTAATACAAATAAAAATCTTTTTGTGGTTGTAAGATTTAGCTTATAAATCATTCAGATTGAAATGATTTACCAGGTCATTGTTAATGACAATCTATTACGAATGTTTTTTTTTTTTTTTTTTTTTTTTTTTT